GGTCATCTACACTCAACATCCATGTGTTTTTAACTATTAAATGAAAATATGTAAGTTCTTCTTTTTTTATTTTTGGTCACTCTGAAATCCTAACCTTAAGCAATCATGCTCCTATCATTCTCAAGCCTTTAATCTACTTGGTATCTAAAAATCAAATATGAATTCTCTTATCACCCAACCGAAACATCAAAAACCAAATTACTCAATCAAAGTTTCAATTACATTACATTTGCCCAATTTAACTACTTTGGGAGAGATGATCCTAAAATTCAGTTCTAGTCATTATGTGAGTAGGAAGAGTCTATCTAAATCTCAAACAGTGGTCTATTCAAGCTCAAAAAACCTCAATGTGAAATCTAAAACTATCAAGGGTGAAGAGTGGCAATCTTAAAGATCATCGATTATCCATCATGGGAATGGTAGCTAGCAAAAAGAGTTGATATTTTTTAGTGTTTACCTAGAGAAAAATCCATTAGAGGATGACTATTATCTACTTAGGTTTTATAGCAAGTTCTATGAGAAAAATCATGTGACGAAGTGTGTGAGAGGACATTACTCCATATCCAAGCTTTAATCATTACTATTAATTTTTTTTTAAAAAAAATACAACTAAAAAGTAAAAAAAATAATGCAAGTAATCATACTAACACAAATATATTCACACAAAAATCAAACAAACAAGCATAGGCATTTGTATGGCAACCGAGAGATTATAAATTAAAAAAAATGCAAAGCTTAACTCTAAAATTCCTAGTAGAGTCGTCATTTTGTTGCACGAGGACATCGGTGTGAATGGCATTTTTTCACAATATCAAGAAAAATTAAGGTCAAGGAATAAAATCATCATCTAGTATTAATGATCACTAGGAAGTTATTGGTTAGTCCGCTCGAATTCTAGGATAAGAGATTGATTACGTGAAGGGAAGATCACCCTACCTTGTCTTATTTAAGGCAAGTTGTATTGCATTTATATAAATTTAATCTTTGGTTTCTAACTCGATCAATGTCTACGTTATTAATATATTTGTTAATTAGGTCGGTTATTAATTTTTCAAGTGATTTGGGATTAAGTTGGTCGAAGTCTTATCCTCACTCCAAGGAAACTCGAGATTAGACTTGAGAAAGTAAAAGAGGCACAAACTTAATCAATTAAAATGGACCCAAAGATCCTTACTCACACTCGATCGGCCTATATGAGGTCATGGTGACCCAACCCATGCATGCTCACCCATAGGGAGAAAAAAAAGAAGAAATGGATTTGATCCTAAAATAGTTTCAAATACCTGTTACATAAGAGCATGTATCTATAAATGCAACTAACAAACATACACCATCAAAAAATAACAAAACAAATATCTTAAAGAAAGATGTTTAAAAGATCTAGAGAATGTACAAACTATGAGAATTCAAGCGAGCGTGCCAATTCCTAAAAAAAGACTAATAATATTAATGATAATCAAAATAAAATATAGACAAGCACACATACATCATTTATCAATTATCTCCATCATATATGTAAGAAATTTTGATTATTTAGGGATAAATTAAATAAATCATGAATATGAAAAACCCATCCCGGGAAAAAATAGTGGCATCATGACTCGATAGTACAACGGTGAAATTACACAAACAAATGTTTGGAAAGTCAAACAAACAAGGTTTCTATTATCGACACATGGGTCAATTTACCCATTAAATTACCATCCCTTTAACACATAGCAAAGTGTTAAATCGGATGAGACAAACACCGATAATATTCCCGATATCATCATTGGCCAACTATCTCTCAAGGCTATATACGCACACATGTACACGCAAGACACTAAAGAAAAATATTTTTGTATTTTTAATAATTACCGATATTAAACACTAGATTTTTTTACATGGACAAAAATATGTCCAAAATAGTTTATGATAACTTCAAAAAACTACAAATTAGGATGTGATTGATTTTTTTAAAAAAATTATTGGACAATGAACACCATTAATTCGACCACTTCTTTTAAAATAAAGCATAAATCTATTCGATAATAAGTAGGAAAGGCTTAAAAATTATTTGAAAAATTATACAAAAACAAAGAAAGTTAAATCATACACATATAGATTAAAAAAGAAAAAATGATCCGGGATGCCTAGACCGAGTATGATTTTAGGCTTTGTGATTTTAAGGAAAAAATACGTAAAAAAAATTATCCAAATTAGGTTTGGACCAACATAGTTTTAGATTTTGCAAATTTTAAGGCAAACGAGCAAGAATGGTCCCAATCAAAGTTGGAATCGATGCAACTCTAGACTTATTGATTTCAAAAGCAAAACAGTAGAAACAATTTAAATCCTAGTTTAGACCGACTCAATTTCAAGCTTCGTGATCTTAAAAGCAAAACAGGCAAAGATAGTACAAATTAGGACTAAGATCGAAACGATTTCAGACTTTAAAATTTGTAAAAAAAAAAGCCAAAATAGGAAAAATGTTTATGTGAGTGCCTAAGATTCAATCTTGTTTAGATGGTTTAACTTATCATAATATAGCATTCTTTATTTTATTAATAAAACAAGTCTTTCTATTAATTCTTATCGTTGATATTTTGATATAATTAGATAGAGTCCATATGATATGCATTGCATTAATGATTGATCATAATATGTGAGAAAAATATTAATGCACTTAAATAATATCATTAAACGTCTCAAGTCGTAGCATTATCAAGAATGGATATTAATTATATGCGATAAGACTTGTTAGTGCTATGCTCATGCTATATGATAGCGATAGGAGATCTCACACCTATTGGTATGGTGATTCCAAAGCAAGTACTTAGGTGATTAATGATAGAGAACATATCACTAGGTGTGACTCGCCATGAGAACCATTTGGTTTAGTCTATGAAAATTTCATACGATATGGGTAGAATTGATCCTTTAACTTAAAGTCATCATGATCATCTCATTAGAGGATTTATATACTTTGATACTCATTTCGATGGGCTTAGTCAAGAGATGCACATAGGCAATTCGTTGAGTGCACCGAGAATCTAGGGGGGATAGGTGGATGACTAAAATAGGACATGTCATTCCTTTTATGCTAAAGGAGTTATCACATTGCACTTCGATGGATATCTACTCAAGAAATTTGTGGCTATAGTAAGAGTATACCAATAAAGCATAGTTGGATTACTCCCGAGCTAAAAGATTTCAAAAAAAAAAAAATTGTGTGATCATAATCGAACACACTATAAATCAAGTTCAAGATCACACTATAATAAATTGATATGAGGACTCGAATTGCATGGTAACCATGCTCGTAAAAGATAATTACAAATTAGTTAATCCTCCTAAAGAAATGGGTAGTCATGATACCTTACTAGAGACCAATTTTGATTTATGTATCAAGAGTGTCTTTTATTCTTGATACATTACCAACATATCTAGGAGTCTATTGAGCTACACATGTAAGTTTAAGCATTCATATAATAAAAGAGAAGTAAAGATTTTCAAAAAGGTTTCTAGTTTTGAAAGCTTCCTATTTTGAAAAAGTTTTCCAAAAATGAAAAGTTTTCTATTTTGGAAAACGTTTCCTAAAATGAAAAGTTTACTATTTTAGAAATTATTTTCTTAATTTTGAAGTCAGTTCCAAATTTGGAAGTAAGTTATCTAAAAAGAAAATTAGTTTCCTAATTTAGGTTTAAGGGTAATTTGAAAAATTGTTTCTTAATGTGGGCTTCCAAAAATATTTTACCTAATTTATTTGGATCGTCCAAATTAATTAGTAATTAATTGAGCCAAAAATTTTTGGCTAATAGCTTAATTTAAAAACCTACAAGATATTTTTTTATGGGAGGACAAACTTGAACTCTATTGAATAAGGTTCAATGCTTACAAGGATAAGATCAAACAAGCCCACACACATTACGGCTCCTTATCCTTAGAAGACAAGGATGCCACCCCCTATATAAATAATAGGTAGAGAGGTGGCAAAGGTGGTGATAATAATACACACACACACACACACACGGAGCAAAAAGAGAAAGAAAAAGAGAGAAAGGGCTTCTCTCTTAAAAGCCTAAGTTGTTGTATCCTTCATTAAAAAGCTTGAGATGCCATAAAAACTCTAACTAATTTCTTTAGAAAGCAAATAAACTATACATAAGGATTAGAGCTAGCACTTTATGATTTCTATGGCTTCGTTTGTGGGTGTTTTAGTTAAATTGATTATTGATAGGGATCAAGCATTTAGACGACTCCTTTTTCGCAAAGGCTAAATCGCACTATAAGGAGTATTCTTTTACTCATACTTTTAATTCATGTATATATAATTAGTTGATTCTACGGGTTGATCTTAAGAGCCTTAGATTGAAGAAAATTTTTGTTTTATTTCGTACCTCCATAGGATGCATAATCCTTTAAAAAATGATTCAATTCGGGGCATACCAATATGATTTCAAGTTTTGCAATTTTCACAAATAAATTCAATTTGATATTCATATATAAATATATTCGGACAACCATAAGCAAACATTTCAATCAATCGATTAATTTACAACACATCAAGATTGACAACTATCTCAAATAAATCATGAATTAATCACGTAACCCATCATCCTAATTCCTTTGCAAAATATTGAAAATCGACCTTATGTCTCCTTAGTAAGTTCTCCAAGCGACATTATACCCCCGGAGTATCTCTCCAATTGATTACGTCCAAATACTTCCATATTCATAAACTCTATATGAATGCATGAATATACTTAAAACTTAATCCGAAAATGAATAATCATGTCTTGATTGGATGAATTATGCAAAGAAAGGTTAGAAGTCACCTAGAAAAGTTGGAAAAACTAGTAAAAGGATATTACCGACATGGTTCGTTGGATTTCGATCACTACCACTAGACAATAGAAATTTTGGTAGCTCTTTTTGGCACGTGTTCAACTAGATCGAGTAGTTTTTGACTTCATCTATCCATTAAGGGAGATTGTTTGTTCCAAAAAAAAAAAAACAGAATGAGACTTAGAAATTTTTTGCTTCTTCTTCTTCAAGAAGATCGAATCGGCCACGGATTTGATGATTTCAAGGTTAGGCTTGATCAAAGCTTTTGAGCTTGGCTAGATGGTTGTTAGCTACCAAGACTCGCCAAAAATTGAAGAAATCTAAGAATACAACTTGGCCATATATTTTTATGTTGGTTTTAGGGTGTTTTCTATCGGGTTTTTGGTTTGAAGGCTGAGAAAGGTGACTAGGAGGTGCAACGAGTTGTTGAACGTGGTTTTCTTAAGATTTTGGGTGGCAACAATTTGGCATTGATTGGCTAAAATTCTAATAAAAAACTATAGGGAGGTAGTTGGCGACGAAATGAGGGTGCTAGGGACAAGAGAGAGAAGGGGAAGGTCACCCTTCTTTTGTGTCAAATAGAGGTATTTATAGGAATTTTTAGGTTTTGGACTTAATTCACATTTGATCCCTCATATCCTTTTTATTTTTTAACTTTAATCATTGGCCTTTTATTGTTTCAATTACATTCTTAATTTATTTTTATTTATTCTCATTCTTTTATTTCCTTTCATTTGTGCTAAATTTTTCTTCTTCTTCTTTTTTTTTCTTTTCTCATTTTTTTTACTCATTTGTTTCTTTTTTTAACTAATTATTATTATTCGCTCTTTTTGTACGTGATAATTTTTTCCAAAACTTGCAAGAATCATAAAACTCATAAGAATCTATGAAAAAGGCTAATATTTGAAAAATCACACAAATCAAATAAAATATTTAATTTTTGGATACTTTTGCTTTTTTTTTTTTTTTGTTGTAAATAAAGGGTAAAAATCGAGTTTTAAATCCAACTATGGTAAGAAAAAAAGTTTCATATTATATAACAAATCATATAATAAATTTTTCTTTCTTTAGTTCTCTCATATTTAAGAGAAATTTCATATTTGCTGTGACCAAATTTGATTGTGTCTCGCAACAATATGTGGACATAAATGCTAATTGAATGCTAGTTATTTATATCTTCTTTGTCTTGAATGCTTTTGGATTCGAGGTGTTTCATTGTTATGGTGGAAGGTTCTTCTACAATGTTTAACAATAACGAGGTAACTAGAAAAGAAATTTTCTTGATTTTTAGAGTGGATTTCTCTTTATGAAATATGAACAACAGCATATTTTTTTCATGTAAAAATTATATGCTCTTACGAGTATTTATTACTTTCTGTAAAAGGTATGTTTGAATTATTTTATTTTCTAAATAATGACCTCTTCTACGTGTTTGTATCTTTTTTAATAAACATTAATCTCTAGGAATTTTTTTTTTTCACTTGATGCTTTGTCTTTACCAGCTGAAAAATGTGGATGGTGGATTTGGGGACTAATTATCAATGTATAGGTTCAGTTGTTCTTTGTGACCAAATATGTCTAATAGCAAGTTATTTTCCTTAACTAGTTCAAGTATGTTTTTTTTTTTTTTTTTTTTTTTTTTTTTCAGGTCATTTTGCTGGCTTTCATATTTCACTTTTTTTAATTCATATTTACAATCAATTTTTTCTTTTTAAAAAAATTTAAGAAATTTAATATTAGATGCAATCATGCAATTTTTACTTTTGTTTTATTATTATTTATTTTTTTAATTATTATTATTATTATTATTATGTTTAAAGTTGGGAATTCAAGCCCATCTTAATTTGTCGTGATCGGTGCTGCACGGCGGTCTCTCGGCAGTTAAAGAAATAGGAGTATGAATATAGTTTTTTTAATTGTATAATCAATCTTTTTATTCAAAACTCTCAAGACTAATGTTAAATTTTTCTTAATTTTACTTTTTTAAAAACTAAATTACACCTCTATATTTCAAACCCCTATTTCTTTAACTGCCGAGAGACCGCCGTGCAGCACCGATCACGACAAATTAAGATGGGCTTGAATTCCCAACTTTTGGTGAAGCTTTTCATGGGCATTAAGAAAAACTGTAGAAATTAATCATTATGACAGAAGCACCTGGAACCAAGTTGTAGTTAGTGGGATGACAAAATTGGGGGATGCATATTCGTTATGACGCAGAAGCCACTCGGACCATGAAATTAAAGAGGGTACTCCGCCAATCAAACCGAGTAACTAAAAAGGGAATTGAGAGTAAAAGAAAGGGAATTAATTGGATTAAAAAAAGCACTTTCAGATTTTTCTCTCGCTGCAGCAAAGAGAGAGGGAGTATGATCACTCAGACAGAATTTTGGACCAATAAATCAGAATAAGCAGCAAAACTACAGAATATCCTCAGCTTGCTTAAGCTTCCGGCTACCAGGATTCTTTCCTTTTCTTTTTGAGTTGATGGTTATGTTCCGAGAAGTTGGTCCACCTTGTAAATTATAGAATCATTAGTATTCTAAAATTGATTTCCATTCTAGTTTGGTACAAAGAATTTGATACCAGATTCCACAAGTACAAATCAATTTAGCAGATTCTCTACCAACTTGCTACTCTATGACTGAATTTCTTCCTTACTTTCATGCAGCAATGACGATTGCATGTCTCTCCACTTGGAAACTTCTTTCGAATATACTTTTCTCCCTTTACCAAGAAAAGGAACAAGCAACAACTTTTTGACCCACCTGTTCAAGAAAATGACACATAATCAACACCCAAGTAATTCTCATAAATCTTCCATCAGTCGCCATATCTACAATCTGAAACACCTAAATATAAAATGCTACCAATTTTTGAGACTAAATCAACCAGTCTTCTACTCTCCAATCGATAAAGTTGATGCTATCGCCTAAGCAAAGGACTGATATATGAATATTTTTCAACATTTATACAACAGACATAAACTGCTGGCATAGCCATAGGTCAGTGTGTTTAACCCTCAATATCTACCGAACATATTACGGGAGAAAGAGCACCATACCATTTATTGATTAAAGAATTGCTTTCTTGTAAAGTAACAGTACCCGGGGGAGTTGGGACCACAAGCCACCCAAAAAAACTAGTGCTTTACAGACAGATAATAGTGCCACTAAATTCCCTAATCAACCCTTTTTTTTTTTTTTTTTTGCTGATATCAGACAAACCATTATAAAATTGCCAACACCTAGCCCACTGTACATGGAAATAGAACTGCCCGAGCACAAACTAATTTGAGAGACACCAGACCATTGACATAAAGGAACTAAACCGCAAGATTTAAAAAATAACAATAAAAATTTCCAGAACTTGAGCAAAAGTAATGAAAGACAAAGATGAACCGTGCATCTCCATCATAAGAGCTCACTAAGAACTGTGAAAGAGAGACAGTAACATCAACCTCAAAAGTAACGTCTAAAAAGCTAGTTCATGAGAAAGTCCAAAGCAATGGTTTTCAATTATGGAATTTCGAACTATTTAACATTAATCAAGTACGAGTATATAAACCATCACTATTTCTTCTAAGAAACATACAAGCCAACTCATTTTGATTTTGCTAATTTAACAAAATTAAATTCAAAGAGCAATTAGAAGCTTTTTTTTTAAAAAAAAAACACTGAAGATTTATCATCCTTTTCGTAGAAATCTTGAATTGTTATGTCAAACAACAAAATCATCATCTCATCATTATCAAAATTATATCGTACAATTCATTTTACAAAGAAAAGAGTATTTTTCACCAAGTTAAAAAATACAACAGCAAAGTCAACATAAAAACCAAATTAATTAGCAGCGTAGCAAGATAAATTTAAGAAATAAAAAATAAAACTGCCAACTGTGGGTCCAGGCCGCAGCTGGATAATGATAATGCTTTGTTGCATTTGCTATCTTGTAACCAGCTTCTCACAAAACCAAAGTAGCAAAAGAAAAGGCAAAAAAAATAATAGGAAAAAAAGAAAATATATATACATACACACGCGCGCGAAAGAAGAAGAAAAAACAAGATATTGATTTTAATATATTTTCAAACAATAAAATTTTCTAAAACTAGAAGAGAAAAAAAAATTAAAAAGAAAAAAAGAGTGGAGTAAGAGAAACGTTGGATGCAGAGGTTTATCGATCGGTTCATGTTTTTCGTGTTGAACAAAAAAATTATCAGGAAGAGATCGATGAACCGCTGCCTCTAGTGTCTTCTCAACCACTGCATATTTACCAAAATAAAAAACAATCTCTCTTTTTTCTTTAGCAAAAAACTACATCTCAAGCAACACAGATCTCAGATCATCAATGGATGATTTGCATATGTAATAATAAACATGCATATGCATATGTATGTGTTTTTTCATACAAATGCAAAAGAGAGAGATTCAAAAATATTGTGTGTGAGAGAGAGTGAGCGGCTTCCCTTGGATTGAAGGAGGAATCTGAGAGGAAGGGTCGCTATTGCCGTACGTCTCTCTCTCTCTCTCTCTCCCCTCTCTCTCTCTCTCTCTCTGCTCGTTCTTTTTAGTTGATCCCTCACAGACACAGTGACTTTATTAAAGGCACCTTCGTTTTTATAATAAATATCGCGCGTCATTTTTAAAGTGACCTTTTATCATGACCTTTTCAAGCAATCTAAGATTGACACGTCTTCGCTAGCTAATGATTTTAGGCTACGTGTTTGGTTGTTGAGCCAAGTTTGTGGTCCATGCCCAATCATGCAGTAGCCTTGGGTAGATCTAAATTGCATGAGCTACTTATAGAATCGGGCCCTAAGGGATGATCAATTATTATTTCGTCTATTTCAAAATATTTGCTATTTAAAATTTTAAATAATATATTTTTAAAAAATATTTCTAATCAATTATTTTTTCTATTTATTGTTTTTTATATTTTTTAAATATTTTTATTATATATATATATATACAAATATCTTTAATATAAAAAAATTAAAAATTAAAAATTAAATTACATAAAAAAATATTTATTTTTACATAAAACTTATAATGCCTTGTAAAATAAAAGGATCCTATTCAAAACAAATTAGAAGTTGTTACAAAAAGATCTTTCTTAAAATTTTAAACCCCAAATTTGGAAGGGATGGAAATTTTATTTTGTTGCCTTTTAACTTTTAGCCTAAAATCTTATAAGGACTTTATGTAATGTCAAAATTTTAAGAGTAATTATTTTCATTAATATGTTATTTTTTTATAATTGTTTAAATTTGATCATTAATTAATTTAATAATTTTATTTATTTATCACCTTAGTTTTGCATAGACTTTCTTTTTAAATTAATATTGATTCCATGTACTATACGATTAAATTTGATAATTAAAAAATAAATAAAAGATGTTTTAAAAAAGCCCGAATGAAAATACTAATATTGTATAATAAATGAATAACTTTATTAAACTGCGAAAAGTCAAAAGAGAAAATATAGAAGAAGCATTATTATTATTATTATTATTATTATTTAACAAGTAGTGTTGTATCATGGATTCTTTTTTTATGTCAATTCTAAATTATGTTTAACTTGTACACGATTCTAAGAGTTTAAGTTTTTTAAGCCACTAATAGTCCACGTCAAATGTCATGCAAAGAAAAAAGATGATGTTTTCTAAAATGAGAATCAAACTTTTGACTTAGTGAGTAAAAAATATTGTCCTTACTACACCAACAACTTTTAATGGTATAATTAATTATGTTATGCCACTCATTTATTATTGTTCTAGGAGTGTACACACACACCTTATTGCCTTTTACTTTCAACCTAAAATCTTGTAAGAACTTTATATAGAGTCAAAATTTTAAGAGTAATTATTTTCATTAATATGTTATTTTTTATAATTGTTTAATTTTGATCGTTAATTAATTTAATGATATTTTTTATTTACCACCTTAGTTTTGAATAGACTTTCTTCTTAAATTAATATCGATTTCTGTAATACACGATTAAATTTGATAATTAAAAAAATTAAATAAAAGATATTTGAAAAAGCACAAATGAAAATACTAATATGGTATGATAATGAATAACTTTATTAAACTCGTGAAAAGTCAAAGGACAAGATATAGAAGTATTATTATTATTATTATTATTATTATTTAACAAGTAGTGTTGTATCATTGACTCTTTTTTTTTTTTATGTCAATTCTGAATTATGTTAGTTAATTTAATGATTTTTTTTATTTATCACCTTAGTTTTGAATAGACTTCCTTCTTAAATTAATATTGATTTCATGTAATATACGATTAAATTTAATAATTAAGAAAATTAAATAAAAGATATTTTAGAAAAGCACGAATGAAAAATACTAATATGCTATAATAATGAATAACTTTATTAAATGGTGAAAAGTCAAAGGAGAAGATATAGAAGTATTATTATTATTATTATTTAACAAGTAGTGTTGTATCATTGACTCTTTTTTTTATGTCAATTTTGAATTATGTTAGTTAATTTAATGATTTTTTTTATTTATCACCTTAG